AATTGACTTAGGTGGGCGAGTTGTCTTTAGCCAACGAAAGTTGAAGTTAAAGCAACTCGTGAACAAATCAACCCNAATCGTTTAATGCTCTTCATTTTTTGTAACCTCAAACGACAGTTTAGGGTGTTAGATTATTTGTTGAAGTAGTTGATGCCACGACAGTGGNTCTTNTTGAATCTATGGTTGAGTTCTAGATTGGTTCATAACTTGATAACCTGAATAATTGCTTGGTTTTGATGTCCTAATCCCTGAGATATCCCTTGACCTAACTCTTTCTTTCTATTGTTTTAAACCGAATATTACTTTTATTTGCTTTCTAATCATGACAACTTAAAACCACTTGATCGCTTAGCTCAAATTGTATCTCAAAAGATTAGAGTGTATTGCTGGTCCCTTTGAATGAACCTCACTATTCTACATTCGAATTAGTGAACCCTAGGTTTTAATCATATAAGACCTGATAAAGGACTATCATCAGCAGTACAAGTTGGTGTCATTAGTTATCCACAACTAATGGATAATCTTATGTGTGATTTCTGCAGGGACGGCTACCGTATGGCCATATATGTGTCATGGGTCACGTAATGGGATAGCAATGCTTACCTGGGACCGACCATACGGGACAAAGGTATTGCTTGAAATTCTTCGGCTATTGCTTGAGAGCGTAGAAGAGTGGACTAGGTTAAAATGGAGTAGAAAATTGATTGTGAACCTTAGGGGAGTCTAGAGTAGAAGTGCATAAAAATTGGTAGGATATTAGGTTCACAATGCCATTGTTAATAATTGCATAGGGGCGGTTGTATGGGCAGCCGTCGCCGACTTGTTTGTGTTTGGCCTGAAAAAGTGGCAGAAGACCTGGCAGCCCTAAGGGGGCTGGCACAGGAGGGCCAGAGTGGTCAGAGTGGTAAAAGTTTGCCGACAGGCAACTACGTGGGGCTGAGGCCAAGAGGTGTGTGTGTTTGAGTATTATGACTGTGTCTGGTGGGACACCTTCATATTACTAAGAGGTGGTAACTAGGAGGTAGCCGGTGGGCTTGCTAGTTACGAGTGTGTGGTGAAGACTAGTAAGCCGGTAGGCTTACCTAGTTACGAGTGTGTGGTAAACGCTAGCAAGCGGTGGGCTTGCCTAGTTGCTACCAAGTGTTGTGACACATGGTGTTAGGGCATCATGTGGGGGTAATAGTTTTCAAGGGTAGTTAGGTTGTATTAGGTCGTGAGACGGAGTAGACCGTCTTACTGAGTATTCAATACACCCCCTTACTAGGCTTGCAGGATAGGAGATCCGGTTAGATGGCTCATAGGATGCGGCAGAAGCGGTATAGGCTTTTCCAAGGCGTGGTAGTTTTAGAGTTTCCACATTGTAATTTCACCGCACAATGTAATAAAGAAATTTTAGAGTAATGAGATAACTGATTTGGCACCATTTTGCGGTATAATTTATAGTCCTTAATGCGGGTGTTACAGTGTAGCTATATAATCTCTTATAGTTCATGTATGTCGCTATGTATTATATATTTGTTGATGTAGTTAAGTATACATTATTATAGTCAAGATGTGTAGCCATGTGTTGCCCAATCGTTCATGTAGCTAACAATGATTTTTCTTTAATTTGGTGAATAACCAAAAACAATGTTATTTTTTGTTGTCAAAATATTATTACGATTGTAAACCTAAAAAAAAAGAGTGTATACTATATTGTTTCT